GAATTTACCTCATTTCCCTCTGGGATCAATAAAGATTTTATTTCTTTTAAATAACTGAGCTCTACCTGGTATTTCCTGCATGGAAATAGTTTTAACACATCCTTTCATAAACACTGAAAACTACTGCGTGTACTAACGAAATGTGTAATAAATAATACAAAAATACTAAAAAGTAAAAGAGAGTTGTTCTGTTGAGTTGAGGTGAGAAGCTGCTGCTTTATTCTGAACTCTATTCTGAGTTTCAACTGGAAGTTTTCCAGTTTAACTGTACAACCAGTACACCTGCTGCAGTAAACATACAGTGAAATGGAGATTTTACATGATGAATTCCACCAGCTGCTGCAGGTGTGCAGCAGCACCTGCATTTTTAGATTCCTCAGAATTTCAGTGGAGTTGTGATTATTTGCTGCTCTTTACTCTTGTTGCTGCCATTTTATGCTTTGTTTCCTTCAGTGATCATGAGGACATACTTCACTCTAATCTAAATATTTCACGCAAAAGCTTGAGTTTTTGTTTCTACACCTTTAGACCTTCATACTCCTGTTTTCTGTGCAAAAACTGTCAAACCAAACKATTTCATTTGAACATTTCAGATTGTTGTTGTTTGTGAAACATCATTTTGATTGATTATCACACTGAACGGTTCATTCCTGGTTTAAAAGACGTCCAGGAATCATTCTGAAGGAGAATAAAGTCAGTTTTTACTGCTATTGCTGTAAATAAATGAACGTACTGCCCAGGTTAAGCAGTGAAATTTACTCAAACAAATATCTTAACATTTGCATTTGAGTGTTTCCTGCTGCAGGACAGGTTAGGTTCAAACTCATTTCAGCACAAAGAAAAAAAACACAAAATAAGCTCAAGGTTGATCAAGAAGTCTACAAATGGTCACCAAGTGTAAATTAAAAAACACATTTTCACTGTTTATCTTTATTTCTGAGTGTAAAATATTTACACTAACATTTTATTGTTATGTAGCTCACTTTTCTTATATTATTTATTTAAATAGTACGTCTAAATATTAAATCTCAAATATAAATGCAAAAATTAAATCTTAAATATTGTGGCTAAATGATGAAGTTAATTTGTAATGCAGCTGTTATGTGACCTTTGTTATGATGTCATCATTCTGTGAGTAAAGCCACACTAACACTGCTAACACTGCTAACATTGCTAATGCTGCTAACACTGCTAACACTGCTAACGCTGCTAACACTGCTAACACTGCTAACACTGCTAACACTGCTAATGCCACTAACACTGCTAATGCTGCTAACACTGCTAATGCTGCTAACGCTGCTAACGCTACTAATGCTGCTAACACTGCTAATGTTGCTAACACTGCTAATGCTGCTAACACTGCTAATGCTGCTAACACTGCTAACATTGCTAATGCTGCTAATGCTGCTAACGCTGCTAATGCTGCTAATGCTGCTAACGCTGCTAATG